ATTAGGTATTATCTTCATCAAGAAATATTTATCAACAAATTAAATTAAAAGATAGTATGTTTTTAAAATGCAAAAAAATAAAAAATAAAAAAATAAAAAGATAGTTGTTAGCCAACATTTCAAGAACTTAAAACTTGTTTCTAAGAAAATTAAGACCACTTTAATTTTTTTAAAATATTATCTATTCATTAATAGATATATGAAGATTAGCCTGCACATTCTCCAGCATAGTAACTAAAAGAATGTGTGTCTTCAAAAGTAATCAAATTTTTTAAAAATATTCTATTAAATGCTTGTATGTTTCAACATCTGGGCATCTTTTTCTATTTTTCTTAATTTATAAAGATTAAAATATATAAATACTGCATCCATTTTGTGTTCATTTATCTTTAATACATTATTAGACACAGCTTTTATAAGGACAGTACTCAAATAATGCATATCATTGGGAGACAGCTATTTGTCCCTCACTATTGGTTTTGCCTCTTCCACTATGATAGAGTTGGTATATGGCCACTCAGCTAAAGACTCTGTAAGTTCTAACCACTGGAATGTGAGCAAAGTGTCTTATCCTTATTTTTTAAATCCTCATCTGAGAATATGTTTATTGATTTTATTTTATTTTTTAAATTGTTTATTTATTTGTAGAGATAATGGAAGGGAGGGAGAAAGAGAGAAAAATATCAAGGTGACATGTTCATGAGTGAATAACTGGCAGCAGAATTTTGACTTCTTCAAATTTATATTTTTTTATTAAAAGAGCAGTAGCATATTACGCTAAGTGAAATAAGCTTGTCAGAGAGAGACAAATACCTTATGATTTCACTCATATGTAAAATCTAATGAACAAACTAAACTAACAGACAAAATAGAGATGGACATAAATAGAAAGCAAGATGACAGCTAAGGCAGGGCAGGGGAAGGTTAGGAGGCGGAGGGGTTGAGCAAAAAGGAAAAAAGACTCATGGACATGGACAGCAGTGTGGTGATTGCAGGGGGAAGAGGGTATAAGAGGACTAAATGGTAATAGAAAAAAATACAATCAAAAAATTTAAAATAAATAAATAAAAGAGCAGTAGCATAGCTGTGTAAACCATGTACCTAATCAGGGATCTGCTTACCTTCTCAAAATACAAATAGCAATATAAAAAGGTAATATATTAATTTATATTCTAAAGCACAACAGGATTTTGCTAAATTTTGGAATTACATTCAATTTAGTAATGGTATAGCTTAGAACAAAAATTTAATCTTGCAATTGCTTCATACATATTAAAGACGATGATGTTCACTTCACAAGGTTGTCCTGAGAATTAAAAAGATAATGCACATAAAGCATTTAGTAGAGTTCTTGAAGTAATGAAAAACAAATTAAGTCCTTCAGTTGTATTTAAAAGGTCCTAAAATATAAAATTCACTAAGCAAAATGATAATACATTATTGTCTATTTCCCCCAATTTTATTTTTTACTTCCCTCAATTATTTCACCTACTTTGTGGCTGAATGTACACAATTAGTGGACATGTTGTCTTCCAATAAATTATTAGATAATGGATAACTCATTAAGACATATCTTATGAGACTACATCAAACTAAAAAGTTTTTGCACAGCACAGAGAAACATCAACAAAATAAAAAGACAACCCACAGAATGGGAGAACCTATTCACCAATACACTTGAAATGGTGTTAATATCGAAAATTTATAAAGAAATCACAAAACTCAACACCCAAAAAAAACAAACAGCCCAATTAAAACTGAATAGACTCATCTCCAAAGAGAACATACAGATGGCTAATACACATGAAAAGATACCCGAGGTCACTACTCATCAGATAAGTGAAAATTAAAACAATAATGAGATACTATCTCACATCTGTCAGAATAGCTATCATCAATTCAGGGATGGAGGTATCAACAAAAAGTGCTGATGAGGATGTGGAGAAAGGGGAATCCTTTTTCACTGTTGGTGGGAATGCAAACTGGTACAGCCACTGTGGAAAGCACTATGGAAATATCTCAAAACAATAAAAATGGATCTACCTTTTGACCCAGTGATCTCACTTCTGGGAATATATTCGAAGGAACCCAAAACACTAATTTGAAAGAGCACAAGCACTCTTGTGTTTACTGCAGCATTATTTACAATCACCAAGATATGGAAGCAGCCCAAGTGTCCATCAGTAGATGAGTGGATAAAACAACTATGGGACATTTACACAATGGAATACTACTCAGCCATAAAAAAGAAGGAAATTTTACCCTTTGCAACAGTATGGATGGACCTGGAGAACATTATGCTAAGTGAAATAAGCCTGTCAGAGAAAGACAAATACTATATGATTTCACTCATATGTGGAATCTCATGAACAAACTGAACTAACAAGGAAAACAAACAGACTTATAGAGAGCGGGATGACAGCTAAGGTCGGGGGGAGTTCGGGGATGGAGGTATTGCGTAAAAAGGAAAAGGGGCTCATGGACAACACTGTGGTGATTGCAGGGGGAGAGGCATATAAGAAGACTAAATGGTAATGGAAAAAAATACAGTAAAAATTAAAAAGAAAAACAAACAAAAAACTCGAATACATCAGGTAATAGCACTACTTAAGCCTATCCATTCTGGATCTTTAACAGAAGTTGGGCAGATAACTTTACAAATTTTTCATTTGCAAAGTTAAAGTATTGAATTAATATAATAATATCTATCAACATTCCTTGAGCTGACATCTTATAGTGCCATCAAGTAATTTTTACTAAATTGCAAAGATGTCTTATTTCAACTATGTTGCTTCGTTACAGCTGCTTACGAGTATTCAAGTAAAATGCTAGTTCTATCCTGCAATGCCAGTAAAACAAATACAATAAATAAATTTTGGAAGAATCATAATTTCCACAATATTGAATTTCGAACCAGGAAATTCAATATAATACCTGTTACCATAAGTTCAATATAATAATGTTACCATACCCTTTAACTTAACCTGTTAAGTTCTTCCATTTATTCAACTTTTGGGCCTCACCATGTATCCAGGCCTTGAAAGCTCATCTCCAAACTTACTCTCAGCTCTGGCACCCCTCAGCTAGTGTCTGCTTTAAATTTCCATAGCCTAAAAGAAATGTACCACTTTGGCCCCCAACACGAACCTTCTCTCTAGGCAGAAGCAGAGAGGCATATGGATCATCTGGGTAAAATGACACTCTTCATGTGCCCTAATGCTTAAATTATTTTTCCAGTAATGAATTCGGTTCTCTCTCTCAACCATCCTTTGTTATATGTGTATATAATTCTTTCATTGTACCGTTATCTGTCACTGTAATTAGCTACATGGCTCAGACACAGAAAAACTGTGGGGATTTTCTTTCATCCTCTCCATTCTATTTTTTTACCCATATTCAGACAAAGCCATTTATTCATTTAACAATTTTACACTCTTCTTAGTAATCTATACTTCATAAAGCATAGTGGAAATCAGGTAAGCCTTTTCTTTCTCTAAGCATTCGCTGTGAAGAACAGATTCAGGGAGAGAGAGTTCACATATTTACACCAAAAGTAAAAATGAGGTCAGCCAAGGAAGTGGTTTCTGAGGCTGAAGAAACACTGGAGGAGTGAAGGAGCATTCCCAGAGCAGTTTATTTTTACTCTCAATCTGTCAATAAAGAGAGTCATACAGCTTCTAACGAGAACTTGTCAATTCTCGTTTCTTTTTTTCTCATCTCACAAACTCTATCACCTTCATAGAGGCTCACTTTTTATCCTACACACTTTCATATTCTTACTTATTTCACCACAATAAATCATTGCAGGTCGCAAGCACCAGCTTACAGGGCTTTCAGGCACCTTTGCACCCGTATAGTAGAGATGATTGATTAGAAGAGTGTCAGTTCTCTGGGGAGAGGAACTCTGTCTCTGTCACTCTTTGGTAGCCTGCATAGTGACTGGGACATATTATGTGTTGACTAGAACTAAATTTGGTCATTGTTATTCACAAGAAATGCCTTCGTTTCCAAATATATTCATCTTGCAGATATTTAAGTTTGTTCAACATAGTTTTAGATTGAAACCTACAATTGTTTCAGAAACAGTTTCTGGAATATTTTTTCAAGTATTTGATTAATACATTAGGTTCTCTTATGAATTACTATTAATACATAAGGTAACCATACATACCAGTTTCCCTCAGAGAGGAATATTCACACATAAATATCCATATAATATAATAATCATATACCATACATGAACCTGCTTTTATACATTTCACCACACATTTTAGAAAATACAAGGCCTCACTGCATCACTAAGAACACAAGACAAAAAGTACTTTCAAATTGTTACAATACATTACTTACAGAGATTCATGACATTTGTTATTAAATATTACAAAACCTATAATGGAAATGTTCTTCCCTAAGTAAAATAACCTACTTAAGATTATATATAAATACTTATATAATGTTTTTCATTGTCATTGCATATAATCATAAGAAAAACCAGTTTACAGTGACTCTTCTTCTTACACCAAAATCTTCATTACCCATCTCAATGACTCACTCTGGTCTTCAGACATGGTTGTAAACAATTCTTTCTAAAAATAAAATCTACCCTCTAAGAGTGAAGAAGCATTCTTACTGAGGGTATTCAAAAGAATTCATCGCAGTACTTAAAGTCACCACCATGTGAGAGATTATAAAATATAGTCTGAAGAACAGAAATGCGACATCCCATTTTGAACTCTAGGGGAGTCTAAGTATCACACGGACTCATGTAAGTGAGGGCTGTAGGTAAACTGTAAAGCGTGTGTGGCAAGAAAGATTTGTAAATTGTTAGGAATGATGTTTCCTCTTCACAATAACAAGCAGTAGTTCCAGGGGTCTCTCTCAGAATTTTACTACCAGATTCACACAAAAAACCATATCTAATTTACAATATGGAAATACAGCTTCCTAGGAGTTAGAACTGCATTCAAATTAAAGATTAAGCTTATCTGGGTGCTACTCACATCAACAAGCTGATTGACTCCACTTGCTGTTTTCGCCAGCGTGACAAGGTCTTCCTGCATCTTATCCACCCACGATTTGATACTGCAGAAATTAGAGAAGAGAATGTTCTGTCATATCTCTAGCAAATTAAGGCCACAGACAGACATTTTATATTAGTGCTGCAGATAACTAATTAAAGTGCCTTTGAATCTTTCTTCTTCCTCCTAGCTCACATAATGTCCACCCTCCCAATCCTACCTACAAATTGTAAAGCCAATGAAACTTTAGTGTAAAACCTCTTAAAATGCTAGAATACCCCCAGATCAAAGAGAGAGAAATGACATGAAGCCTTGTCTAATATGAGAGCAAAATTTGATTAAATTTCATGAGAATTCCATTTAAATTTAGTAAATAGAATATTCTAAAATAAATTTTATTCTTTAGCTTACAGGTCTTCTGAACATTTTTTAAATGCAAGAAATGAGAAATATTTTAAATGTCTCCTAATTTTATTACCCAGGGATAATCATTCTTAACATTTAATGTATTCCCATTTTGTCTTTTAAAATTATTTCACATGGTTAAAAGCATGTTATATATAATTTATGTATCTTTTCTTTTCATGAGCTCATATGATAAATACTCCCATGCCATTACAAGTATCTTATAAACATTTTATTTTAATGGCCACTTAATATTCCATTATCTCTAGATCTCATAATATACTTGACCATCCTTCTGTTTTACAAAAGATATCTGGGATATCATCAGCTTTTAGCCACTATGAATTATACTGCAACAAATATCTTAGTACATAAAGCTTAAAAGTATTTCATTTTCTTAGCTAGACTCTTAAATTTGGAATTACAGAATCAAAGTTTAAGTTTTAAAGGAATATATTTAAATATTAAAATTATGATTGAAGGATTAACGCAATGGAAATCTTAAAATACAAGCAATGGATGTTGGGACATTTTAGAAAAACCTAAGTCAATGGCCTGCCTTACTTTTTCCTGGTATTAGAGACATTATCAAATACCAACAACTTTCCCCATTTAAATCACTACAATTTAATTTGTAATCCCTTCATACAGTTCATTTACTCATTTTCATGTTGCAAAAATACCTAAATTGTATACACTTTTCTTTTGTTATTGTTGTTCCATCTCAGCTGCCCTCCCCAGCGCCCCGCTCACCGCTCCCACAGACAACCCCCGCCCCGCCGTCCATGCGTAGATCCTTTTCTGCTCATGCAAATAGAATGCTGGTAAGAATGATAAATTATTTATATTAGAATTTGAAATTCTCTATACATCTATATGATATGCACATCTATCTGTTGCTTACTTATCCTACTTCTTTAAATTTTATTAATAGTGTTTTATTAAGTGCTGTTTTATTAAAGAAAGTAAACTTTGTGTTTCATAAGTGTTTGAATCATGGATAGTTAACGTACTGATCTTCTTTTCCTTAGATAGATAAGAGATTCAATAGTAATATAGGGCTGTCAATTTTTTAAAGATAAATTTAAATGTTAACAAAATAAATAATTAATGTGGAAAGAAGTATAACATGGAAAAGAGATTTAAACGAGGTATAGGAGAACACATAAAAGAATAATGAACTGATAAACTAAAGAGGAAGAAGCAGAACTGAAAGTCAGTCAAAGAAAGAATGAAATGCCTTAAAGGAAAACACAGAGGCTTGACTTACATGTGAAACAAACTAATTAGTATATGAAATACATCAAAGCTAGGGATACTTTCACACAAATGAAAATAAGAACGAATATCAGTTGAAACATGCTGTATGAATGATAAAAAGAAGATATATCAATATCAAGAAACAAAAAATAAATAAATGGGAGAAGGGTATAAAGAGAAATTTATAGACTCATTAAAATGAATGATGCAAACCATATTACTTTAATATTAGACTTTGTGCTTCTTATGAACTGATGCATACATTTGACACATAGTATAAATACTAATATTCTTAATACTATTAGATAAATATAAATGTTCCCCTTTTTACATATAAAACACTAAGTTACAGTAGGAAATGGGTAGGGGCAAAGACCACTGACAACATTTTCTAATTTAGATCAGACTATATCATTTCTCCAAGTGGCTACTGAACAAGTCCTAAAACCCATGGAAAATGAATCATCTCTTCTCAAATATAACTCCCAGCATTGACAAATAGTGAAAGTGTTACACAATACATCCTATACATCCCTTCAAGCTGAGAAACTGAGAGGAAAAGAGTGAATATGCAAAAACATTAACTTAACTCATGCCCGAATTCTGACTTATGCTAAAATGATCTCAAACTTACATTCTAACTTGACACCTGAGTGCATTGTCACCGCCAGTGTTCATTGAGGTGAACCTGTTTTTGGTTAAAAAGCAACTCAGGACCTTTTCAGTCTTCTCTGCCCCACTGACAAGCTATCAAGAACACTTCATAGGAGCAAGGACTATTTTTCATAGATATGACATGCTAGCTGGTTTTCCTAAAATGCATAAGTGCTCCTCTGCCTTCCAAACATGGAATTACAAGAATATAATGGCTAGGAAATAAGCAAAGATCTCACTCATCATAAAAGTGAAAAATTACAGAAGGGAAAATATTCATATGCACAAATTCTTCATCAGTTTTTTCTCTTTCTAGATGAATTTCCAAGCACATATTTATAATCACTAAGCATTATTTAATTAAAGGTCTCCAGAATATACTATAAAATTTTGGAGACAGTTACAGAGGATGTATAGCATTTTCATGACCAATAAAACAATATAGTGCCCTGACTGGTGTGGCTCAGTGGATTGAGCACCAGCCTCAAAGGGTCATCCAAAGGGTCACCAGTTCAATTCCGAGTCTGGCCACATGCCTGGGCTGCAGGCCAGGTTCCGAGTGGGGGGCATGTGAGAGGCAACCATACATTGATGTTTCTCTCCCTCTTTCTCCCTCCCTTCCCCTCTGTCTAAAAGTAAATAAATAAAATCTTTTAAAAAAAGAAAACAATATAGCACTCAAGAGGAATAATTTGTTGTTTTCTGTTTGTCAACCCATTCAACGAGTATTTGTATTTGCTGAAGATATTAAAAACTGAAAATGCAGAAACAAATTATTGTTGTCTTACAATCTAGCTGGGATTAAAACTGGGTTCCAGAAGGAAAGAGGCAAATAAGAATATGGTGGTGAATAGGGGGAGAACAATGACTTTCTCTTCCAGAATTTGAAATTCTTGACTAATATCCTGTAACAAAAGAGAATAACAAGCAAAAAACATACTGACTTATTTAATATATTTTACAAGCCACAGGAGCCTTCATAAGGAAATAAAAATCCAAAGAAATGGTTAAACCTGAATGTTCTTACACTGTTTGATAAATAAGAAAAAGTTGTGGAAAGATAGGACAGGCCAAAGAGTATGATCTTTGTGTAGTAAACTAAGAGAAACTTAACAAAGCCTGTTCATTCAGATTCTGTTCTCTGTCCCCTGACTTTGGAGATGAGGATGCTCCTTTCCTCCAAGTATGACGGTAGGGGTGCAACTATCCCAAAGAGGAAAGGTCAGAAAGTCTTCCTTGCATACATGAATCATCAGACTCCTTGAACTTAAAATGTTTGACATGCCAAGCTGTTATAATTTCAGGTAACATATCCTGAATCCCATCAGGAACCAGCCAAGAGTCTAACTTTTATTAGGTAAAAATGCAAGAAGGTGGATAGAGGAGGCTTTCTAGAAGTGAGATTTGAAAGAGACGTGGAATTTGAGAAAATTGAGGAGAGACGGAAGTAACACGAAAGGCAGTGGAAATGTGAAACATGGCATGTTCAGAAACTGCCAGTAGATAGTTGGTTTGGGTCCAAGGTTAGATGAACAAATTGTACGGAATGGGGGCAGGAAGAGTAAAGAAGAAATTCAGGCAGATAGATGGACCCAAACGAGGGTCTTAAATAACATTCTGAAGCATTTAGACTGTACTCTCAAGATAATGAAAAGATAATGAAAAATGTGAAGTTAGAGAGGTACATCAATTATGTATATATGAACAAGATTAAATAATTTCTCTGACAACTAAGTAGATGGTGTCTTAAAGGGAAAACAGAAAGAAAGAAGGGTGGGTCTAGATAAGAGTAAGAAATGAGGAGGATTCCAACTGGCTCAGTGGTGGTGAGAGGAGAGAAGGAGAAGACGGAGAAGCCAAGAAGAAGAAACTAGCTCCACAAAAATTGCGAAGTGCGGACAACAGGAATCCGTTCGATATAGACAGTGAATGGGGAAAAAGATTAGATAATTAATGGAATTCCTCAGTTAGACAATAACCCAACATTTTCATAAAGAAAGTACCAGAGGAAGAACAATTTAGAGACATTGATGTTTGTTTTTGTTGGTTCCATTAGAGATGTTTTTAAGAGCTTCATGTGTAGCTATCCAGTAAGCAATTGAATATACACAGGTTTGAAGCTCTAAGAAAAGAAAGTTTCCATCAAATTTAAAGAGTTGGTAGTTACAATGTATATAAAGGACACAGGTAAATCAATGTATGATATGACTCTGAAAGGAGTCATATATGGGAGGAAGGAAATACACAACAGTTAGAACGCTGGGAGATAATGTGTGAAGACATAACATAGGAACTGGGGAGAGGCAAGAGAGAAGGGAATTCAAGGGCAATTGTATCACCAAACCCAGAGAAGGGAAAACCTTACAGAGACAGGAAGTGACTATAGAGTCATCAAATAAGGTGAGAGAAATTCATCCACCTTATGTGTGAGATTGAGAGAAACAGTATGAAACTTAGAAGAGGGTCTCCAACAGGACTTACTACTCCTTTTTATTTCTTAATAGAAGAAACGTAGGCATGTTTCTATGTAAAAAGGAAAGGCAAGTAGAGATGGAGACATCAAAGATTCAAGTAATTTTTGACAGATGAGGTCCTTCAAAAGATTCTAGATTCCTTAGGCTTTTTCTTGCTCGTGCCTGAACTTGAGGGGCAGTGGGAGGGGGTAGGGTGAGGGGAAAATGAATAAAGAAATAAGCAGAACAAGTTGGCTTGAGAGAGGTTACTTCTTCATGAAATTGGAGGAAA